CTCCAAATCTTGAAAAAGATCAAGCTAGAATTGGACTCATTTTTGTATCACCTGAGAGAGGCGTAATTAGATTCTCATTCAACTTAACTAAACCTCGAACCAACAATGATGTCAAATATGAAGCCTTAATAGCAAGACTGGAGATTGCAATCGATGTTAGAATTCGAAACCTCTAAATCTTCGGTGATTCTCAACTTGTTATAAATCAAGTACTGAGAGTTTACAAAATCACCAAGTTTGAGTTGGCCTATTATCATCAGCGAGTTCTTGAGCCTATGAAGCAAATCCCAGTTATCAAATTAGCTCAAGTTCCTCGAGGTCAGAGCAACAAAGCTGATTGCCTTGCCAAATTGACTAAAGAAATGACAAATATTGATAACGAATGACTTATAATAATTATGTCCACCTCGGTAAAATGTTATGGAGGGTGGATGAATTTTGCTTTAAGCATTGATGAGTCATTTCAATTTTAAACATTTTCGATTTGGATGATCTTGAGATTTTTGGATCTTCGGGTATTTGTTATGATATTTAAAATATTCGGAATTAACCCTTCCGGTTGAGATCTACATTCAACACGGCCATTATCGGGGTGAATGAGAGACATTTGAAAATATTAGTATTTGTAGGAATTTGAACTTTGCGGAAGTTTAAAGACATTTAAAATGGTTGGAGTTAACCCCTCCGGTTGAGATATACGTTCAACACAATCATTGTCGAGATGTTTGGGATCATTTTCATTTATGGATTGAACTTGTCGACTCCGTTGACTTGCCGATAAAGGATCGGGTTTTGCAGGCTCTATATTTTGTTAATGAATTTTTTTATTTATAGACCTTGAAGGCCTCATATAAATGTATAAAACAGGTATTCCAGTTGACATCTTGACAGTATATATGTTTAATAGTTTAAGCCGTGTCAACTCCTATCCATCCATATAGAAGGATTGGGCTCAAACTACGTTCATTTGTTGACCCGTGCAGCATCCCTAGACGTCATGTGTGTACCCATAATACGCTCGTTGGGGCCATGGAGGTATATGATTATATATGCCCTTTTAGTGTACCTATATGCATACATATTATAGTGCATGTGCAGGGGTATTTTTGGAATACTTCAGTTGATCAATTGCGGACAACTGTCATTTGAATATATCATTTTAATTGGAAACTCGTGTGCACCTTATGTATGCTTGTTCAAGTGTTGCAGATCCGGTGGCGTGTTGTTGCAGCTTGTGGATTGAGTTGTTTGCTGCTTTGTATATATAGATTGTTGTCCACTATTTATTGCTTTTTGCAGGTGGATTATAGTGCACTAACGAATCTCCTGCTTTGTCTGGTAGATATTGTCATATGCTGTAGCTCCCTTATGTCTTTCTTGTGGATTACATATTAGGTGTACAACAAGTCTCTCGTAGTAGCCTGTAGGTATTTAGATTTGCTTTACTCATATGGCATTTTGTTTATAGATGATATTTTGTGTAGACAGTGGGTCTTCTATAAGAGCCCGTGGACATTTGCATTTGCTATATATCTTCTTCTCTTAGCTTGTAGAAGATCGGTGTATTTATCGGTCATTGAACAGAGGTTGATCGTAGGAGTGTTGTAAAGCAATTTTTATCCCTCTAATTTGATCTCTGCTTGTAAGAAGGTTACTATGTTCGTTGCACGTCAAATTCTTCTACTTGAAGGGAGTCGGTGTATTCACTTTCAATCAAGTGGTATTGATTGTAGCTTGCAAGGTTGAATATGATTGCTTGTATTCTGATCTTGATTGTACAACACTGCTACACTCATCACTAACTTTTTCATGCACATCAGTTAGTGAGCTATTATATTCATTGCATTAATCATACACCTTTTGTATTTTTCTTATGAACATAATGTCGCATTTGTTTTGGTTATCCTTGCTCTTTTATAGATGTGGTTAGTTTGATCATTGTGCCTCGGCCGTAATAGTTCATGGATGGGTTATAGTACACATCCAAACTTCCATTTTGTTGGTTGCAATTGAATTATATATTTCCTTTAACTCTATTACTTGATGGATGTGAGTGAGCTGCTTGGTGTTCTACTCATCATCAATTGTAGTGGCATTCGTTGAGGATTCTTGCATACTTGCCTGTAATCAAGCTGTATGTATATTCCTTCTTAATTTTTATTGCTTGCAGGGTTGAATGCCTTTACTTGTGTCTTGGTACTGCTCGTAGAATATTGGTATATTCACTGTATGCCGATCTTATGTTGTAAACGACAAATGTATTCATGAACTTTACTTCTTGTAATTAGGCTTTTATGCTCGTCTATGAGTTGCTTGACATTGACCACAGAACATTGTTGCATCCATTGCGTACCTTCCTACATCCCTAAGAATTTCCATGCATACTTGTAAAGTGGCTGATTGTAGGAATGCCATCAGGTTCGTGGCTCAACTACTGTCATATAGTTTAACTGCTATTGTCATCTGCAGGTGAATTATCACACCTTATACAATCCTTATTGATTGTCAGTTATAATCGGTCACGTTTCTTTGACTTTATGATCAAGCCATACTTGAAAATTCTTTGTCCACCAAAATGGATCGCAACATGTATATATATGATGAACTTAACACAATCGACCATTAACATTTGTCATCTGGTTGAAGTGACAATTGAAGATTTTGTATTATCAGTTATGAGCATGCCATTGCTCTTGCATGTTGATTATGTTTAGATAACTCTCTCTACGAGTCACCTGTGGTCCAACTCAAATCTTTGCTTGAGTTCAAATGTTCAAGTCATGTCAGTTTAATGTTCAAATCAAGTCTAAGATAATTTCAGGTTCAATTTGGATTTAAATTAGGTCCTTATCATTACATTGAGTTGAAGTTAAGTCTCATTCTATGCCATGTTTGAGTCGGGTCTTTTGTGATCCACACCAAGTTTTGCTTGGATTCAAATTGTTCAATTCATGTCCACTTAGTTCTTTGTCAAGTTCAAGTTCAAGCTCGAGCTCATCTGGTTCAAACACTAATCCAAGTTTGAGTTCAATATCATTATAACTCATATCACATTCGAGTCCAAATCTTCATTGTCCAAATCAAGCTTATATTTATTCATTTGAGTACAAATTGAATCATCATTAATTATCTTTCTCTTATTGTTCAAGTTCATTTAGATTCGATTTATTGTCACTTAGGTCTCCTATTGTCCAAATGTTGTTCATGTGTTTTTAGGTAAAATTTCGGCAGCCTACAGGTGCCTTCCCCATTCAGGAGAAACTATAGGAAATTTGGCCTTCGCACCACGCTAACAAAAGAGTGCATGGTATGTGTCCTCGGACATCACGGCCGTATTTTTTTTCGTCCTCCACCATGCTAAGAAAAGTGTGTATGAGTCTTCTACAATACTTGGTTGAAAAATGCAGCCGGCTTTTCCCACGTACGGGTACTTATATGTACCCCACTTTGTCAAAGGCGTTGCACCGGGTTCTATCCCACCATGCTAAGAAAAGCGTGTATAGATGATTTTTCGGTGCGTCGTGAACGCTAAAAATAAGGATTTTGATGATTACCCACTTCGTCGCGAGCACTGCGACGAACTTCGTTCTACTATGTTAAGAAAAACATATATAGGTGGTTATTTCGTCGCATTGCACATAAGCTATAGAAGTTTTCAGTTTGGAGGGGTTATACCTGCGCGATGACGACGGGTGAAGGCGACGAAAATGCAAAAAAATACACTATCTTTTTTTTGAATATTCTCTTTTTTCATTTTTTCCCGTCTTTTTTGAATCACTTTTCCTTTTTTTTAATCTCTCATTTTTTTTCTTTATATATATATATATAATGATTAATAATAATAACTAATTAAAAAAATCAAAATAAACCTAGAGGCTGGCTATAGAGGAGATCGGTTGGAGAGGTATTGTAGCCGGATGGCTTGTGGCTTGTGGCTTGCGGCAAGAGAAGTGGAAGGAGGCATCGGGTAGAGGTAGGGAGAAAGCTCTCTCTCTCTCTCTCTCTCTGGGTCGAAGAAGCAAGGGGGGTCGAGCGAGGCTTTTGACTAGAGTAGAAGATCAGGTGAGGGTTTGGGTCGATAGTGAGTGAGGTAAGGGATGGGTTCGGTTAGAAGAACTCGGTATGCTCGTGGTTTCCACTTGAAGAGGTCGGTTATGGGTTGAAGAAGAGCAGAAGTCTTCGGTTGGGGCTAGATCTAGGAGGAGGTTGAGATGGTGATTTGTAAGGGTCGGCCTCAGACAGAGGTTCAGATTAGGGGTGTCAATTCGGGTCAACCCGTCGGGTTCGGGTCGAACCCGACTCGACCCGTATATAAATTGGTCAACCCGAACCCGACCCGTTTTTGCAAACGGGTCAAACATTCCAACCCGGACCCGACCCGAGCGGGTTACGGGTTGACCTGACACGACCCGCAACCCTGTTTAGCCACACGCGCGGCAGCGGCGACGGCCGCAGCGAGGCATGCTGGTTCGGCAGTCGGCACTCGCGGGCGACGCGGCACGCGGGGAGGAGGGCAGCGGGCAAGCGCGCGGGAGCAGCGGGAAATTTAATTTTTTTTTTAAATTAAATGGGTTTTCGGGTTGACCCGTCAACCCGTCCAACCCGACCCGACCCGTTTTATCAAACGGGTCGAATCTGCAAACCCGGACCCGACCCGTTTATAAACGGGTTGGGTCCAACGCGGATTTTCAGGGTCGGGTCCGGGTCGGGTTGTCATGTCGTGTCAAATATTGACACCCCTAGTTCAGATGGAGAGGTTTTCATTCTAAAATTAGGCTGAATTTCAAGACTCGCTTAGAATAGCAATATTCCTTAGAAGTTCTTCTGACTTGTACTGAAATGAAAAACTTTGCTTCAAAAACAAATGCCATGTAGTTCTTATATTAAGTTCATATAAACAAATTAGAGTAAATAAATTTAATCTAGTGATAAAGTTTGATGTCAATGTTCTGATATATTGCTTCTTCTTTTTTTCTGAAGTTACTAATAAATTCCTGCAGATATAGGGACGGGGAGCGGCTTAGTGTTGAAGATGAGAAAGTAGTTGTAGAGAAGCTTCTTGCCTACCATCCACATTCAGAAGATAAAATTGGCTGTGGCCTGAATTCTATAATGGTAATCTACAAATTACCAGTTAAGCTGGTTGTAATTTTTTAGCTGACACATAAAATACGTTAAACATGTGATATTTTATTATATTTGTTTGATTTTATGGAAGTTCATTGGTTCAACTGGCTGATGCTTTAATAAAGAGATGAGAGAGTGAGAGACTCTTTTTTTCCCTTCAATGGATCATATTTTTAGCACAGATATAGTATTTGAAGTGTAAAAGCTTACAAAGGAAAGTCTTTGGTGCTTTTTGATGTAGGCTAGACGTTACCGATGATACCCTCTAGGGCTCCAGACTTTACTTGATGATAATTGATTGCACCTTCACAGGGCATTAGATAAATGTTGCAGACTCGTTTTGTCTAAACTGCCTATCCTAATATCTCTGGCTATAATGGCAAGCTTTCAAGCTATTGGTTTTGGTTCAGTCTCCACTTCCTCGTTTTCAGACTGCAGCTTTATAAATTAATCCTCACCATTTTCTTCTTACTACCATTTTATCTCAACCTTCATCATTGATTGTTATTGCTAGCTATACCGAGCTGAACTTACACAAATAGCTTCTAATAAATATTTGGATGGAAATGTAATACAATCAATCTCCAACTATTTTTCGACCTCTCTTCTCTATTTTGTGTCTTTTCATTGCTAGTCTTAAAATAAGATTCAACATGGTATCTATGCATGCTCAAGGAATCTCTACAATGCCACTAGTTTTACTATTAAGGATTTGACGAACAATATACTTCTTCAAGATCCCAGTTGTTGCAATCCATGACCCCGAGTTTGAGATTTTGATGATGATAAATAATGTCGCCTAAACTACTATTCATTGAATATCTTTGATTTATGTTATTGTCTATGAGTGCTAACATTTCAGGAAAATCACAAGTTACTCAGGACAACAAGAAGACTCAAGACTGAGTAAAGTAGGAGTGTGAGTCTGTAACATTGTTACTTTTTCATTTATTTTATTTTCTCTTTTCTTGAGTCTGGCCACAAACTACATATAAATCTGATCAATCATGCACACACACAGGTGGAGAGGGTTTTTAAAAGAAAAATATAGATGTTTTTTTCTCTATCGATTGTACTGTACGAATTCATGTCGTTCTGTACAATCTGATCTGGTTAGAATGTCTTTCTGTGAACAGGTCGTACTGTACGATGTGTTACTAATCCAAAATCTTAGCCGCTAGATTAGTTTAAGTAAGTTTTATCAGTCGTTCGTACTGTACGATTTATTTTGAATACTTAAATTAACCCGTGATTAGTGGAATAAATCAAGGATTAACCTCTGATTGGTAATCGTACTATACGAACACGCTCGTACTATATAATGAACCGAGACTGTTTTTGATCGTCCCGGAGTTTGTCTTGGACGATCATTTGATTTTTGCCTAATCGTACTGTACGAAGTGTATCGTACCCTACGATGTACAGAGACGAGTTTTGATCGTCCCGGACTTCGTCCTGGACGATACCTTTAATTTGACTATTCGTACTGTACAAAGTAGGTCGCACCCTATGATGTACAGAGACGAGTTTTAATCGTCCCGGCTATCGTCCTGTACGAACAGAAAAGGTGAGGATCGTACGGTACAAGTTTATATCGTACTGTACGATAGTTTTGAACTATTCGTAAACCTTTGTACCAGGACAAAGCTCGTTTATACAAATTGTACTGTACGATGTTGAATAGTATTGTACGATAGTAACGACTAATTTGAAAAATTTCAGGGTTTTTTGGAGCCCGTTTTAAGTATTATAAAAAAAGTAATGTTTTCAATGAGTGACTAAGAGTGAGAAACATGTGTAGAGAAGGAATCCTTGGGAGAGAGCTCTTGAGAAGATTTAGGGTTTGAGAGAGGATGAAGAGGGTAAGCTTGGTGAGGGAGAAGTAGTGTGAGGGAGATCACACGGTTGCTCCATTCTTGCTGCACTTTATTCCTCCTATGGCCCATGGAGATCTTGTGGGAGGCTCTATGGTGGGAGACTCTTCTACATCCATGTTTTCTAAGGTTCTCTGCTTTCTCCAGTAGGGAGAAAAATAAGAAGGTACGCTGCCGTCGTCACGAGGGTGAGAAATGCGTTTGGCACTCTGCCACGCCGGGTTGGTGAAAGTGAGTCTTGTGAGGGCTTCTCCGCCTTGCCGAGGGGGCAAAAGGAGAACTATAATTTTGTAGTGAAATTCCCGGAGTGGAGGACTCCGGGGAGTGGACGTAGTTCAAGTGACCGAACCACCATAGATCTCTGGTGTGATCTTTCCCTTACTGCTTTTTACTTTTGCTTGCATTTGATTTTCATTATAACTGCTTGGTGAAATTCTCTGTGGAATCTATTGTTGCTATTTGTGTTCAAGTATTCGTTTCAATTAGTTAAATTTTAAAAACATAAAAAAACTTTTAGAACTCATGTTTAGGATTTTTTATTGCAACAAGATTTTCGCGATTCACCCCACTCTTGGCGCATCTAGTAATTTCAATTGGTATCAGAACGGGGTTTTAAAAATAGAGTTTTAGAAAACCTTGAAAATCAGTAATGTCTCATTTTGGTAATCGTAATACTGCGGAGGGTTATTCAATAACCCGTCCACCTCTTTTTGACAATATCCCGTTTGGTTTCTGGAAAATTTGAATGTCTATTTTCTTACAGTCTATTGATTTTCGCATGTGGATGTTAGTAAATGATGGTTATGCTTGCACCTTCTAAACTTATCAATGGAGTGAAAACTCTAGTGCCTTTCAATGCATGGATCAATGAGGATAGGGAATTAGCTCAATTAAATGCAAAGTGTTTAAATTGTTTATTCTGTGTATTAAAATCTGAGGAATATATGAGAGTATCTACATGTGCTATTGGTACGGAGATTTGGGATAGACCGTGTATCACGTATGAAGGAACTAGTGAAGTTAAACATTCTAGGCTTAATATTCTATTGCATGATTATGAACTCTTCCGTATGAAACCTAGCGAAATAATATCTGACATATACACTAGGTTCACTCAAATAGTGACATCCTTGCATGCATTAGGTAAAGAAATTTCGAATTCTGAAAAAGTTAACAAGATTCTTAGATGCTTACCTTGTTCCTATGATGCTAAAATTACTGCCATCATTGAATCTAAATACCTAAATGTTTATTCTATTGATAATTTACTTGGGTCGCTCATTGCATACGAGCAAGAGTGAGTCAAAGGCAAAGTGATGTAGGTGAAAAGGAGCGAACGGTGGCATTAAAAGTAAACAATTTAGAAAGTGAAAGCTCTGCAGGGGAGGAAGAAGATGATGTAGCCTTGATGACCCGACAGTTTAAAAACTTTTTGAAAAGAAAACAAAGGCGTCATCAAAACAACTGGAATAAAGGTAAAAGCTCGAGGACTACTAAAGTTTCATTTTACATAATTTGCTTTGAGTGCAGGAAGCCAGGTCTCCTCCGAGCTGATTGCCCCAACCTAAAGAGCCAACTAGCTAAGGAAAAAGGCGAGGATAAAGCCAATTACAAGAAAGGGAAGATGAAGACACAAAAGCATTTTAGGCCGGCTCTGCCTCAGAATCGTCAGAAGAAGCAGAGGAGGGGGTAATAAATTTGTGTCTAATGGATAACTATAATCTTGATCAATCGGATCAAGACGAGGTATGTCAACTTTCATATGAAGATTTATTGCTTATTTCTGAAAAAATTCATGACTCGTATAGGAAATTAAAAAGGATACATGCTAGTCTTATTATTGATTTTAGTACTTTACAAACTGAGCATGCTAACTTAGTTAAAGAAAATTCTGATTTAGATAGAGATCACATGTCCCTGCTTGATGAGTATGATGCATTGAATAAGAAGCATATTGAACTAATAGAAGCGCATGAATTCTTGAAAATCACTCATGTTGAACTAGAAGAGGCTTTTCACAGACTAGAAAAACTTGTATTAGAAGTAGATCACAGTGAGCATTTGTTAAAAATAGAAGTTTATGGATTGACATATAAAAACAACACATTTAAAGAAAAAATTAAAGAACTAGAAAAAGAAAATGCATCACTCACATAGCCCAATGTAGCAAACCCCGAGCACTGCATGCATCACAAAACTTTAGGAAGAGACAACACCACTCACATAGGTTAGTAAACCCATTTCCCGGTGTTAGGTGCTTCTCTTGTGGCATGCTCGGTCACATAGCTCACACATGCACAATTCATCGTAGGACACACCTGGTATGGAGACCTAAATTGCATCCATCATAACATAGAATGCATATATCTCATTCATGCAAGCATATGGAGGAACCCAAACTCACTTGGGTTCCCAAATCTAATCCTTGAATGAAATTGTAGGGATGCTCTCACAAAAGACCTAGTGAGAGCATGTGATACCTGGACATTGTCTGCTTGAGACATATGACTGGAGATATGAAGAAGTTCATTTCACTGGAGATCAGGACCGTAGACAAAGTAACATTAGGAGACAACATTACCAAGAAGTGGTAGGCTCAGGTATTGTTGGTAATGCTAAGATTTTTTTAATTGAAATTGTTTTATTAGTTGATGGTTTGAAGCATAATTTACTTAGCATTAGTCAATTTTGTAATAAGGTGTTTGACATAAAATTTCTCTCTGACAAATGCCTGATTAGTTTAAATAACAAACTTGTTTTAAAAGGAAAACGAATGAACAATGTTTACATGTTAGACCTTGATTGCATTGATAGTTCAAATTCTTTTGGTTTGAAAACAATAATAGATGACTCATGGCTATGGTATAGGAGACTATGCCATGCTAGTATGAAAACACTTAGAAACACCACTCAGAAAAACCTAGTTAGAGGCGTACCTAAATTACACTTCACTCATGGTTTAAAATTGCGCAATATGAGGCTCGCCTTTGCGCAATTCCAGTAAAAAATGTCTCGATGCTTACGCCTCGAGTTTTTTTTATGAGTCTTGCACCTCAACTTGGTTGAGGCCCACCTTGATGCCAGCCTCACCTCACTGGCATGAGGCTTACGCTT